TCACAGTCTGGTGGACAGTCCGACACAGTCTGGTGGGCCCTGCCTGACAGACTGTGTAATAGTTTGTGTTTGCTGCCCACCAGATCGTGACAGTGTTCACCAGACTGTGACAGACTGTGACAGTCTGTCACACACTAACACAACACATACACTTGCTGCGCTCACACACTCGCTGCACACACACACACACACACACACACACATAGACACACACACACATAGACACACACACACACACACACATAGGAGGAGGAGTGCAGGACAAGGAAGCACACAAACAAAACCGAATGCGAAAGCAACTTTTCACTGTTTTCAGGGCTTCAGGTGAAAACAAGCAGCAAGGTGTGTGGTCCATAATGTCGAGAAAGGTAACGGGCTCCTCTCTCTCTCTCTCTCTCTCTCTCTCTCTCTCTCACTCACTCTCTTTCTCTCTCTCTCTCTCTCTCACACACACACACACACACACACACACACACTCTCTCTCTCTCACACACACACACACACACGCACACACCCTCTCTCTCAATCTCTCTCCGTCTGTGTGTCTCCCTCTGCTGCACCCTCTGTCCTCCTCTTCTTCGACCTGTGCAGCGGCGCACTCTCCCTGGAGTTGTCATCCGACTCTTCCGCTGTCGGTGCTGCAACGGGTTGTTTGTCCTTGCGCGACCGACCTCTCCCACGTCCTGTGCCTCGTACAGCTCTGGTAGCGGACCTCCCTCGCCCTGTGCCTCGTGCAGCCCCGGTAGCGCCTCCTCTTGCACGTCCCGAAGCAGACCTTCCTCTGCCTCGCTGCGCACGATAGGCGAGGGGATCCCATACACGATCGGGATGTGCTCCATGTTGCTCGGCTAGAAGCGACTGGTGACTGCCACCATAAAACGATCGCACGTTAGTGCGATGCTGCACACCCTCCCCCTGCTCCTCCACCTGTTGCTCCCCCACCTGCTGCTCCTTCCCCTGCTGCTCCTCCACCTGCTGCTCCTTCAAGTACTCCTCCCCCCGCTCCTCCACCTGCTGCTCCTCCACCTGCTGCTCCTCCACCTGCCGCTCCTCCACCTGCTGCTCATCCAGCTGCTGCTCCTTCCGAAGCTCCTCCTCCCCCTGCTCCCCCCCCCSCCCCTTCTCCCCATGTGAAAGTATGCCTGAAAGCATGCCTGAAAGCAGATTGTCACAAAGGATTGCATCAGGGGGGAAGGCTGTGAGAAAGGTGGTTTTGCTTGAGATTGGAAGGGTCTTATGGGGTCAGACATGGTTCCATAAGATTGGATAGCCTGACTGCTGTGTTTATTCTGTTTTCTGAAAAGTCCAAGCTTTGTTTCTGAGATGAATGGCTTGGCCGTTGTGTTTATTTAATTTCGTCAGGCTTTGTTTCTAAGATGAATGGCCTGGTTGTTTATTTTGTGGGGTTTTGGTTGTGCAAGCTCGAGGGCCAGACTTTGTTTCTAAGATGAATGGTCTGGTCGCTGTTTATTTCTGGGTAGTTTCTGAACAGTCTCTGGGTTTAACTCAGAGTACTCTGCTTTTGTTGGTTTTGAGAAAATGGGGTTGAGCTTTGTTTCTAAGATGAATGGATCAACTCTTTTGGTTGTTTTATTCTGAGGGAGTAATTTCCGCTGAGGACAAAGCATGTTCCATAAGATTGGATGGCTTTGGACTCATCCCGCACACAGATGGATCAGAGAGAAATGAACCTGGCGGGGGACCAGACATGTTCCATAAGATTGGATAGTCTGACCCAATGCCTCGCACATGCTGGAACCCAATAGGTTATAATTTGGCTATGTTTTATTATCATTCTACTTAAGAATAGGCTGGTCGAACAGGGTCCCATAAGATTGGGTGGTCTGACTGTAGCTTATCATAAACTTTGAAGAGAGTATAATTAAGAATATAACTGAAGGTAACTTTGGGCAGGCTGAGCTTTGTTTCTAAGATGAATGGCTAAGTCCTACGCTCAACTTTTGAACACTAAGTTCAGAGAGGTGTATATAACTTGGGTATTAAACAGTTCAGAGCGACTAAGTATTGTTTCTAAGATGAATGACTTAGTCATATGCCCAAAGGAAGAGAGAAGTAGTTGTGCAACCTGTTCGTGTATACTCAATGGCAGAGTCAGGCGTGTTCCATGGCCTGACTTTACGCCTTATGTAAGTTGGGTACAAATGAGTAATTTACTGAGAAGACATAAATTATTGTCTGTCCGGATTTAACTTGGGGTTGGTGAGAGTACGTACCTTTGTGGTTTGACCTTCCATATGGCTGAGTGAGATAGTTACTTAGCCTAAGTTTCAGTTTGATAGGTAGTTGCTTTAGTCGCTCGCCGCGTGCTAGAGCCATAAGAGTTAGTTTCAATTCCTGCATTTTCCGAGTTAAGTTTTTTTCCTCAGATAAATTCTCGCATTTTCTGGGATCTTTTATTATACTTCGCTTTGTATAAATTTTGGTAAGCCACTTTCTCTAGGGGAAGCACTGCCAAGATTTCTGCAAATCCAAGGAGTTAGTCAGATTCTGACTTTTCAAAGTTCAACTTGTCTAAATTTCATATATGGGTTAGTAAAAATCTGAAAAGTCTCATTTTCTAAAGGGAGTGCTACCAAAAATTTTACTAATTCAGGGAGTTAGACAAAATTGGGCTTTGAAAAGTTAAAGGCTATTTCTGTTTTCATAGTATTCGGGCGGATATAAATTTTGAAAAGGCACTTTTCCTACAGGAAGCGCTGCCAAAATTTTCCTAGTTTAAAGGAGCTAGGTTATATTTTGACAGGTGACGATTCTGGCGATCCGCCCTGTATAGGGGAGGTTCTGCCAGCGTCTACCTTTGCTTTGGGCACTGTCTAAAGGTAAATTTAAGCTCAGTCAATCAGGTAGATTTTTGGGTGAGATCGTGATTGTTTGTTAATGACTTATAGGTTTTACTTGGGGATTGGCATGTCTTGTGTTATAGGTCCTCTTGACCGTTTGATTCTAAACTTGAGCCAGATTCGGCTTGATCTTACGAGGATCATCTTCTGTTATCACTAATAACATGTCAGTTGCCGATTCGTCGGTTTGCGATTCAACTCCAATTCGCTCTTGCCACTCAACCTAAAGGCTTTAGCCCTGTGGTTTGAATTGTTTCATTGTGTTTTCACCCGGACTTTATTGAATGGCAATTTAACAAAAGTATTGAGTATTAATTTTAGAGAGTTGCATAAGAGTGAGGTTTGTATGACTAAAGCAAGGGGTATGAGCATAGAGAATGGTTGAAGTTAACCCCGTGTAGTGTGTGGACATTTGTTGGATCTTTGATGTGATTGTAGGTGTGTTTGTGGTTCGGACTCTGGATTTGATTGCTTGCGATCACGTACATATATGTGGCTGAGAGGAGTTTCACTGTGACTGTGAAAAGTGATCGTCCTATATTAATAACCCTCTATATATATCTGTATATATATATATCGAGTGTTTTGTGCGGCTTACTGTGACCGCGCGTAAGGGTTAAACAGATTATGTGTTCGCGCGGTTTTATACTAAGTCTCGCGCATGACGCCTATCGGATTTCGGCGTCGAAAAGTAATGGGACGGCTACTACGGGATTAAGAGTGTTGTCGCGTTGTTTGATGTGTGTATATGTGTGTGTTTTATTTCTGCATTCATAGAGTGGTGTATGCGTGGTGAGTGGGATACGTCCTAGTCGACCGACGTCGAGTCGCGCTTGGGACCTCAGCCCCCCAAGGTGTCGATTCGCGCGTGGGTCCAACAAAGGCATATTACCGCGCGTACCCCCTATGCTACAACGAATGAGAAACGCCCTCGGCTGGTCCACCTCTGCGATTGCAATTGATTAACTTTCATATTGTGGACTTGTAGCTCGACGGGGATATGCCCACCGAAGGGAGGTGACAACTCTCGTAAGGTGGAGGTAAGTCGTGCCTCGCGTAGGCCCTATCCTGTTGTAGGGGCTCGCGGGAGGTATGGCTGGCGCACTCGGCCTGAGCGGCTTGTGGAAGCTCCATGTATATTCGTGACAAAGGATTTAAACCAACTCTTGCGTGACGCGGTCGGGAGGGTCCCGCGCTACCCCGTACAGTGTCGGACCGATGCGCTCGACAGGTGGCGTCGTTGCCGGGGATAACGGTTGCCTACCGTTGTCCCTGGTGGAACGACATCCGGGTATGGGATTGTGAAAAATAGGCAAAGTGAGAAGTATAATTGAGTCTTTTCAGATTAATCGATTGATGATATTGGATAAAGACCGAGTGAGGGTAGACTGTGCGAGTTGATGTGGCTTGATGTCGTAAGGATGGCATGAGAGTGATAAGCGTTTTGACCATGCGCTCATGTGTTCTGTCTACCATAACGGCAGTTGGAGTTGTGTACCGTTTTCGATCCTGATAGTTGATTGACTCGGACGATGCTTTGCATAATTGATATAGTTGAGGTGAAATAAGATGATGCCAATGTGACTAGCATGTTGGTTGAGGGAGTTAGCCTCATAAGGTACCCATTATGGCTAAGGGAAGTTACCCGAGTGGTCAAGAGTGCAATAGGGTACTTTGTCTTTAGGGCGAGACATAGGATGAGTAAAGGAAGCCTATTATGTTAGAAGTCATAAAGGGATTTCGAGGAGAACTAGACTAAGGATTTTGAAAGCCTGTATGGGTATGGATTTGGATCCTTGAGTCTGGGTTCTAAGCAGTTGCTCAGGTTGTATAGCCAGGGAAGTCTGAGGTCTGTCCCGCGTGGTATGTTTGAAATTAGGCGTATAAGGCAGTAAAAAGATGCGGTGAGCACTGTGTCAAGGCCTCAATAGAAAGGGCTACAGGGAGTAGTGAATTTGCATGACGTCTGTCCCTATAAAGAAGGGTATCTGATCCTAGAGGCAGGCGGAGTAGCAGTAAAGAAGCTAACACCTAGATTACTTTGCCTACTTTTGATGGGGCAATGAATCATAATTGGTGTTTAGACCTTCGCTTGAATCTTTCCAGGTTCGGGCCGTATTCATTGATCTATGGGTTGGAGCTAAAGACTTGAGACTATTCTTGTCTAAGGGCACTTCTCTTGAGTTATATATTGAACTCATCCGTAGACGTCAGATCTTACCTGAGTAAGCTTGCCTAACGACTATTTGTGTGAGGCTATGTGCTGGATGACTATATTTCTTTGATAATTATCCTTGTCATAAATATTTATATGGGTCATATATCTGAAGTATGTAGTTGAACTATTTAGTCTGTAAGGATTTATATAAGTGTCTTAAGTCCGTTTATTGATTTATGACGGTTTGTTAAAGTTTGTGCATCTGGATCGCTGTTCAAAGAGGGGTAGGGATGTTGGAACGCGATAATCAGTATGATAACGGAAGGCGTATGTTGGACGTTTTCTGTGTTGGGCAGAGCCCAGACGAGAACGAAGGCAACTCAGGATGCCTTATGCAAAGGAAGATCCTAATATGACCTTGCCCGTTAAAAAGGAAGATGGACTCGAGGTATCCTTGCCAAGGAGAGTCAAGGAAGGATAGTATATCTCTTCCTGGTGGGGCACATTGATGGGCGTGGGTATGTTCACTTGGATCGAGTCCGATTTTAATGATGATGTAGATTGTACGATTGTGAGGGTGACGCTGTACTCCTCGCCATCATTCAGGGTCTTGCACGGGATAGAGTTGGCGCTTGGGCATGAAAMCCTACTCGCGAAACCCTTGCGAGTAGCTGAGGCAGCCGCCGCAAAATGGGCAAGAGGCAGGGTCCAGGAAAGGGAAGAGCAGTTGGTGACCCAGGTAGAGGTCAAACACGCGAAAGAGTTTGCACTTCCCTCAGCCCTATTACGAGTTACCCTGCAAGAGGTCTTAGTAGAAGAAAGGTTTGGGGGATAGGCAAGAGTGGAAGCCGCTATAGAAGCCGCTGTGAAGGCACGCGAATGGGGGTATATGCGATACACATGCGAATTGATATATGACCTGTATCTGGATCAGAGGTTTTTGCCTTGTAGCCAATGATTCAGGAGCGTGGCCAAGGTGGTTGATACATATGCAATCTCCCATGATCCCGATGGGGAGGCTGTAGACTGGGATGAGGTTCGTGTAACAACTGGCCGGTAGAGGGCGCCCTTGTATCCTGCTGGAGTATGATACGAGTACGGGGGTCAGTAACATTGGTAGCCTCGTTTACTGTCTGCCTAAGATTGGCTTCGAGGGCTCTGCTTATGTGGGATGTACTTTGTCCATAGAACCCTCTAGCTAAAGTTAGGGTCATATTGTATAAATGGGAAGAGGGTTGGTGTTACGGACTTCGCCAGGGCTCGATCCCTGGTCTATCTTTTGCTGTTTCGGCTGCATCCCGTTTTCGGCCTGGCACCCTTTTTCCAAACCCCTCCTTTGGTACCGTAGGATTTTGGACAACTGGCGCCATGCTGCAATTCGGGCGCCACTTTCAAATACTGCATTTTTCAGTTATGCCCTCGGGGCCTTTGCAGAAATGCCCCTGGTACCGTACGTGTCACCGGTACTTATACCGGCTCCCCGTACGGTACGGGGACCAGTCTCGTAGCAGTTCTCTGCTGTTGTACTCGTACTCAGTGTGACTTGCTGTTTTCGTTATTCGGGAATCCAAGACTTCGACTTTGTGCCTTGCCACTGTGTCTGCGTCCAATCCTCAGTCCGAATCCGTCGTGTCGAGTGAGTGAGTGTGTGTGTGTGCTCTCACTCTCTCCCTCTCTCTCCTCTCCCTCGGCTCACCCTCAGCCTCACGCTCGTTACACTGGTATCGGAGCGGTTCGAACCCGCCCGACCCACCCTGCTTCGACGTCGTCACCTGGCCATCATCAACATCATCGTTGAGATCGTCGCCGCCGTGCCACGTCATCATCGTCATCATCGTGATCGTCGTCATTGTGCCCCGTCATCATCATCACGGACGGGATCGCCGTCGTCGCGCCACGTCATCACCACCATGCCTGTCGTCCTCGTCGCTGCGCCGCGCCGTCCTTGTCATCGCCGTCGCGCAGATAAGTAATCAACGATAATTTTTTTTTTTATTATTATTATTTTTTTCCTTCTTATCTTTCTTCCTCGTTTCTTTTCTTCTTCTTCTTCTTCTTCTTCTCCTCCTCCCCCGATATCCCGACCTGTCCTCCCCTTCCGCGCATCCTAGCACGATCCCCCCCCGACTACGATCC